GCTCCTCCTCCCGGGGCACTCTGTGCCAGTCGCTTGGTTCCTTGGGTGCAGAGCCCATGTGCCTGGGTGAAGACAGCAGTAGTGGCTCTCGGGGGACAGCTTGGCTGTGTGGCCACCTGCATCCCGGGACACTGTCATATCAGGCCGTACTTTTCTCTCTCTACCTAAAAACTTTTTCTCCCCTTTCAACAACTGTAAATTAGTGAACAGAAAAATGCACTTGGTGCAGTTTTACGAATTACGTCACGTGTCTAGATCCGTGCCACCACCCTACAGTCCCCGATTCCCAGCCTCTTCCACCATGGTCCCCTCCTCCCTCCTGCCTCTTCCCTTGCAGCCGCCGCTTGCCCTCCAGGTCCCCACCCCGACATGTGTTGGCCACCTTGAGTGCAGCTTTCAGAAAGCTGGTGTAAGATAAAGACGTGAAAGTCACCTCCAAGCTCCAGAACGCACCCATCTCCCTCTGTCCCTTACTGTAGGCACGCTCAGCTCTGCCGTCTACCCCAGCACGGGGGCAGCCAGTCCATCCGCAGGGAAAAATTGGCACAGACTGGCCTAGTGTCTGCAATACCAATTCTTTCTTCCATCCATACTTCCATACTTATATTAAAATTGCTTCTTTTAGCCTGGTGCTTCAAAATTATATGAATTCCAAGAGGTTTTTTTTTTTTTTTTTTTTGTCTGGTTGGTTGGTTTTCGCTTTTTGAGACAGAGTCTCGCTATGTAGTACAGGCTAGGCTAGCCTCAAGCTCGCATCAATCCTCCTTCCTCAGCCTCCCGAGTGCTGGCCTGACAGGCGTGCGCCATCACGTCCAGCTGTGAATTCCAAGTTTAAACGAGCACTGTCTGTAGTAATCACAGTATGCCTAAGATTCCCCGAGGAGTTGGAAAAAAAAAAGTATGCAGTGGAAACTCTTGACTGTGGACTCGAGCTCATCCTTTCTTTTTAGAGTCTCAGTATACCTGTAGGGGGAAAAAGAAATTTTAAAGCTTAATTTTATTCCAGAAGATCATTTGCAAACATCAGTGAGATCTCACAGAACGTTCTGTTTCCTGGGTTTCAAAGGAGGTGTGGTCGTCGGGGTGTGTCTGGGCACCCTTCACCTGTGTGGAAGAATTAGGACTGTAATGCATCAGCGGCCACGGCCTTCGAACGTCTTAGTAGGCTGGCTCTGGGCCCATGCCACCCTGCCAAAGTTACGGACCTACCCTTGCTTCTCTATGCACCTCCCCTGATTCCTATACTAGCCTCAACTCCTGAACGGGTTGTTTCTCATTCTGTCGAAGTGCTGACTGTGGAGTCTCTGGGATAACCTTGCAGTTGCCAGGTTTCCTGGTAAGTGTCCAGATTCTCTGGAGGTTTAGAGGCGTGAATAAACTTAGGATATTTTTTAGGATAAATAAAACCTGTAGAGTTAATTTATTTATTTGTTGTTTTGTCTTTTTGAGACAGGGTCTCGCTGTGCAGTTCAGGCTGGCCTTGAGCTCACTTTGTAGCCCAGGCTGGCCTCAAACTCGCAGTAATCCTCCCGCTTCAGCCTCCTGAGCGCTGGGATTACAGGCGTGCGCCACCACGCCTGGCCTTGTAAGATGTAATTTGAGTGGTTTGGTTTTTGGCACCAGAACTTGAAGCAGTGGCCCTTGCTAAAGGAGAGCAGAAGTCGGCCTGGAGACTCAGTTTTCTTTAAGGTGGGAGGAAGTGGGCTCTGAGCCATGCGGGGTACGTGGGGCTGGTTCCCTTGAGTGTGGAGCTCATCCTACGTGGGAAACAGAGGCTGTTTCTCTCTTTCTCTCTAGCTGGGCAAAACCAGTCCGTCACGGTCAAGCCTCTGTGCTCTTCTGTCCTCCTGGGAGACATCCTGGTCTCTCCTGGAGGTTCCTCTTTGGGGTCCCCTTTGCCGGGAGCACCTGCATGTCGGGCAGTCGCACTAGTCTCACCTTGCTGGGCGGCTGCCACCTCATTTCTGGAATGAGATGATGGCAAGCCTTGGGAATTCTGAGTATTTGATTTTGCTTAATCTTTAAGCGCCTAGCATGAAGATGCTCTGTACACTATCAAAGCCCGTGGAATTGGTGTTTTAATGAAAAGACAAAAGGCGCATTTATTTATTTATTTATTATTAATTTTTTTCTTTCTTTCTTTTTTTTTTTTTGTCTTTTTGAGACCCGGTCTTGCTATGCATATGCAGCTCGGATGGGCCTTGAGCTCACTTTGTAGCCCAGGCTGGTCTTGAACTTGCAACGATCCTCCTGCCTCAGCCTCCTAGAGTGCTGGGATTACAGGCGTGCGCCACCACACCTGGCAAAAGGTGCATTTAACTGCCCTTTTTTGCCACCAAATTAATGAGAATTACTCACCCACTCCCTAGACTGAACCTGGAGGAAACCAGACTCCAGGCAGCCCTGGAGCACGCTCGGAGAACCACTAAGATAAACACAAATGCGCTCTCACCCGAGCTGTGAAAAGGAGAGGCCTTTAAAGGTCAGAGGGTCCAGTGGCTCTCAACCCTGACTGCATGTTAGAATCCTATGGGACACTTTTAAAAAATGCTCCTGCCCAGCCCCCACCCCAGTGTGTGTGATTCAGCCGGTCCGGGGTGGGGCTCAGGCTCTGGTGGAATTTTCTAAAAGCTCCCCAGGGGCTTCTGATATGAAGCCAAGTTTGCAAACCACTGCTGTTGTATAAAGCTTCTCACTAGATATTTGAATGAAAGTGTTAAAAAGATCTCCGCCACCCCCAAACATGCGCTACGGGTAGGGTTGCCAACAGTTCACCTTTAGATTCCCTGAGCCCCCCACTGTCTGTCCCTGTGATCCAATAAACCTTGGCTCTCCCGTCCCCCTGCCCAGAGGGCAGAAAGAAGCAGGATCTGAACAGTATCTACTTTCAGATTCATTTAATGTAGCAAACATTAAAATCTCCGTTTTTCAGGCCATGCGTTTGATTTTGAATATTGAGTTTGTTTTTTTGCATTGAGACAGGTCTCACTGTGTTACTTAGGCTGGTCTCAAACTCTCGAACTGCGGCAGTCCTTTGGCAGCATCCTCTTGCGTAGCTGGGACTCCAGGCATGGGCCACCATGCTGGCTGGGATACTGAATTCACTTGCTGGGGCTGCTGTAACCAAGTATTCCAGCCCAGGTGGCTTCAACAACGGAAATTAATTGTCGTACAATTCTGGAGGCTGAAAGTCCAAGATGGAGGTGTCACAGGCTTGGTTTCTCCTGAGTGCTACAAGGGAAGGATCTGTTCCGCGATTCGCTCCTTGCCTCCACTGTCCTCTTCCTCCCGTCTTCATGGCCTCCTCCCTCCATGTGTCTAGGCCCAACTGAATTCCCCCTCTCCATAAGGACACCAGTCCCGTCGAGTAGAGGCTCCCTGTGACCTCATTTGACATGAGCACCTCTGTGGAAAGACCCTGTCTCCAAAAGAGGTCAGCGAGAGGAACTCAGAGTTCAGACTCCAATGGACTTCCTGAGTTAGGATGGATCGATTTAGATTTTTTCCAACTTTTATGGTGGTGTGGAAACAATACATGTTCAATAGGAACCACACTCTGAATTTTGAATTTTGATATTTTTCTGGAGCGTCAGCCATGTGGTCATGAGGAGATGCGGCCAGCACTTCAGTGGGTGGTAGAGCGGAGCTGGGAGGTGCAGTAGGTTAGTGGATTCGGTGCATTTTCATTTAATGCAGCAAACATTAAAATCTCCGTTTTTCAGGCCGTGCGTTTGATTTTGAATATTGAGGTTTTTTCAGTACTATTTCTACCTAAGATGGATGGCTTTACTGGTAAAGAAGGCCATCCTAAGTGGAAGGAGCATCTATATCTTTTTTGAGGGGAGTACGCTTCAACCTCTAACAGATAGCATCCAGCCTGCCACCTTGACTGCAGGTTGGAACAGGTAGAGGCACACATCCAGTTTTTTCCTTTACATCCACTCCTGGCCTGAACTTGCTCAAATCACAGAGCTCAGGACTGGTTGCTTTATCAGCATGCGACATGAAGCTGCCCGCTGCCTGGCGTCTGTCACCCAGCTTCTGCAAACACTAGCAGGGCCACCGAGGTTTATGTTCAAGCTTCCCCAGGAATGAGTATAACCCCTTTCTTTTTCCCATGGCCGCAGGGGCAGCGGAGAGTCCGAAAGCTGAGGTGGGGTGGGAAGGGTGGGTCTATTTGCCCAGAGTGAAAGCCCAAAGTGGGTGCTGGTGTTAGGCATCCATTGTAGTGAGTGTTTAGAGTTGGTGCTTTTTCTTCAGAGTGTAAATGTGCTATCATCAGTGAGTGGGTAAGGGAGTGACGGGTGGGGAGAGGAAGCGAGAGTTCCATCCCCCTGAGGTCTCTAACCTGAGTCTGACTGCAGATGGGAGGGGGAGAGAACTCCAAAAGTTTCATGGAAAACGTGACGTTTTATTTTCACTAACTGAAAATTTGCAGCTCCTTTGATTGTGATTATAAACAACAGACCAAAGTTGTGTTAGCTGTACTTGAGACTCCGCATTAGAAATTGCAGAATTAATTTTTTGCGTGTTAGGGTCGTTGTAGATGTCTTGAGCTTCAGTAATGAGACTTACGCTAGGTCTTATTTAATGTGTAAATATTCATTGTTACTAAATATCAAATAGTAAATATTACTAAATGTAAATATTAAATATGACTAAAGTGAAAATTCTTTTTTTATTTAAACAAAGAAAAAAGAGATAAAAAACAATAAAAATGATACAGAATTTCAAACTAAGATGACAGGAAATTAACAGTGGTTATTATATTACCTATTGTTATCCTCAAAGTAGTTGCTAAGATTACCAGATACAGGCATGCAGAATTGATCAAACAGTATAAGCACTAACTGTTCCTTTCAGTGAATGAATAGAAATTAGTAGTACAATTATCTTAGCTATCTTGTGTGTGTGTATATACATATATATCTTTTTTTCCTTCCTTTTTTCTTTTCCCTATCCCAGTTGTTCTTTCTAAAGTGAAAATTCTTTAAAATTACTTTCACTTTTATTTACCTTTATTTTATGCCAGATTTATTCATGTGCCCTAAGTTTTTGTTTCTTCAGTTTCTTCTGAGATACTGTTTTCTTCATAACCTCATCTTCCAATTGAGGAGCCATCTGCTCCTTTTCAGTTCCGGATCATCTCGGTGTGGGTGCCGTGGTGCATCTTGGGTGCTTTGTTCACCTGTGTATGTTCAGCGACCAGAGAATCTATTCCTAAACCCCGAAGTTCAGCTTTACTCTCTGCGGTATTAAGGATGTATAGCAAAAATTCTGCAGTCCTTTTTTGGGCCCTGGGCCCTATGTTTAGACCCACTTCTTGGCCTGGGCATGCTACCAGCTCCATCGCTGTGACAATGGAATGGAAACTTTTGGACCCTGCAGGCCTTTCAGGTGTGGATATCCTTGATGACCTGGCCAGTCTCGTGGGTGTTCTTAAAGTGAAGCAAAAATTTGAAAGCTTTGATTTACATGACTTTATGGAGCTTTCTGGGTCAGTTGAAGCCATTTTCACAGATGACCTTAGGCTGCTTACAGGAAGAACTTAAGATATTTTGATAACTGTTTTACTGTAATTGCTTTCCTTTGCAGTACTGTGTACTTAACTTGTGCTTTTAATGCCGTTTTGAGAATGGTCCGTGGGCTTGCCTCGGCTGCCAGAGAGGTTGGTGGCACTAAAAGGCTGGGGTCCGTTGGTTAGTGTTTATAATAACTGCTTATTTGCTCCAGCAAATCCTATAAATGAGGAAATCCTATAAATGGAGATAATACTAGAGTTCAGTCTTGATAATCACTTGATTTAGTTAATGTTTATAACTTTTTGTGCTCATTTTCATTAGGCTAAGCTGTGTGTGTGTGTGTGTGTGTGTGTGTATGTGTGTGTACACAGTTCCGTGAGGTTGTATCCGGTGTATAAATTGTGTAGCTAACCAGCACAATCACAGTGTACAACGGTTTATGGAAGATATTTTCTTAACTTGGTTGTGAGGAAAATAGTACAGTAAATTCTTTTCAGTTCTACTGAATCATCCTACAGCCTCAGGCACTGTGGTGGTTGTAACATCTGCCTCCTAAGTGGCCTGCTTGTCAGGCCTGGGACTGGAGGCAGTGATGTAGCTGCAGGGTTGGGCCCCAACCCTGCACTGAGGGAGAGGGACTTTTGCTCCAGTGTGAGGTGTGGTTGTTGTTGACAAGTTCCACCTGGAGGCCTGCAGCAGGAGTCTTAGGGGGTCATCTTTGTAGGTGTGACTGCTCTGGATCTTGACCTTGGAGTGGAGCCTTTTTTGTCTGGGCAGGAGAGAAAGAATAAATCAAGGAAAAGACAGGAAGCAAGGGCACCAGCCAGGTGCTCTGGGTTCAAAGAAGTGCTCCCGACCTCCCAGGGCTGAGGAGCAGGAAGGAAGTAAAGATGCCCAGGCAGCGTCTGAGCAGAGATGGTGAAAGCTGTGGGAAAGGTTATACCGTGGTGGGCACGGGGTCTCCACCGAGGTATGTGTGTCCACGTCTGTGCCCCGTTCCTCTCATTTACTGAGTAGAGGGAGCTCAGACCCCGCTGTTGGGCTTGGCTTCGGGAAGCAACATGGGCTTGATACTTGCTCTGCTGCCTAAACGTTGTGAGATCCGATTATCACTGCAGAAGGGAAGGTACTAATAAAAATCCCAGAACATGTGCAAGACGAAGTTCCAGCCGAAAGCCAGCCATGTGTTTATTGTCTCTTTGCCACCTCTCAGTAAATGAGGCCATCCGATGAAGCAGCGTCCCATTCTCCAACCACAGAAGATCAGTATTTATACGGTCTCAGGGTTTTGTGGGTTTGAATATTTGGCAATGTTAGTGGATGTGTTTCTATTTTTATTCCTTGTTTGCGGCTTTTTCTAGTTTGTGTGTGTGTGTGTATGTGTGTGTGTGTGTGTGTGTGTATGTGTATGTGAAAGTTCTCAGCTATAGTAGGTGCTTACCTATATAGCGAGATAGTGGTCCTTGTTCTTTACCTGCACCCGTAGCCCCTGCAGCTTTTCTTCTGGCTACAGCACTGCCTGGTCTGGAAGAGCTGGTACATGGTAGAAGAGCAGCTTGCAAAGCCAAGTGTGTACAGCTGCTGTGGAGGGCAAATTAAAAATCAGTTGAAAATTAAACAATTACTGTATGACCCAGCAATCCCAGGACTGGATGTGTATCCAAAAGAATGGAAAATAGGGCCTCAAAGAGATACACACTCTAGTGTTTGTTGAAGCCCTGTTCATGATAGCTAAGCTAGGGAAACAACCTAGGTGTCCATCCACAAGTGAATGGACAGAGAAATTCTGTCATGTATATACACAATGGAATATTATTCAGCCTTAGAAAAGAAGGAAATCCTGCCATTTCTGACAACTTACGTGGACTTGGGAAATATTAAACTAAGTGGAATAAGCCAGTCACAGAGGGACAAACATTGCATGGTTCTACTTACATGAGGAACCTAGAATAGTCAAACTTACGGGGGTAAAATATAGAATGATGATTGGGCCCACTTGAGGAGGCCTGCATGTTGTCGGGGACGGGAGCTGGGCACTGCCAAGCCTGAGCACCATTGCCTGGCAAAGCCGTAGGTTCTGCCCCTCCCACCCCACCTCCAGGTTGTGAAAATAATGTTTGAAAGTAAACTGTGGCCCGTGGCCAGATTGCCATCATCCTGGGACAGACATCGGAGGGAGGACATCCTGTTCTGTTTCCTCCACTCAACTCACCCAGCCCAGTAGGATCCGCTCCATCTTCCCCAAACACCATCCCTTCAGAAAAGCTACACTCACTCCTGTCACCTCACAGACCAGCTCTCAACGTCCCCATCCAGGTCTGAAGCCTTCCTACTTCTGACCTCACCCAATCAGCTCCTTCCCCCTTCACTCAGATGTCAGGCTCCCCGCCTCCCGTACCCAGGGGGCCTCCACTTCCCCTCCACACCTCACTCCTCCACAAGCTGTCCCTTTGCTAACAACGCTGATTTGATAGCCTGAGCTCAGAGTCTGCCCCCATAGTCTCATATGGACTTCACAATCAACACAATTGTTTTGTTATCTAATTGAATTATCTTATAACGGCAGTGTGGGTTTTTTTTGTTTTTTTTTTTTTGTTTTTTGGTTTTTCTCCGGTACCGGGAACCGAACTCACGACTTTGCGCTTGCCAGGCAGGCGCTTTTGCCACTGAGCTAAATCCCCAGCCCCGGCAATGTGTTATTTATTGTGTGGGATTAGTGACCAAGAGAAAGCATACTATGGGTGTCCTTGCCCTGTGTAGCTCTTGTTTCCGTAATTAGGGGAAGGCAGGCCCAGTGCTGGGTTTTTTCTGTCTCCCTCGGCCCCTGCTCTGTTGCCACCTGCTGAATGGTAGATGCAGCCAGCTCCCCTCCACGAGTTCGAGACAGCCCTGGTCTAAGTCTGTGAACTGCAGGTTCTTCTAGAGCTCCGCGGAATTCATAATTACAGTGGCCATTAGCCTGGAATGCAAGGGGCTGGTCGTCAGCACGGTTTAGTTAATGTTTAGGTTTTACCTGGGCGCGAGATAGCCAGTCAGACTCATTTTGAGATAAGTGAAAGATCAGAATTGAAAAACAAAATGCAGATTATTTTCTTGTTACTAAAAGTTGATGGAGTGGAACCCCGTTTTCTGCAAACTCAGGCCTAGAGCATGCATAGGTAGACTTGAAAAGTGAGGATTTCAAAGGGAGGAAGTTGAGATCCCAAGAACCGACGGATGCTGATTCTTGGGAACAGCTTCTGGGCCCAGTGAGTTGAGATGTCCACATCGTCTTCCCTTTGGGGTGGGAAGGGAAGCTGACTTCACTCTGTGGAGCTGCCTTAGGGTAGGGACAGAGTCCCTGGAGCCATCAAGTCTAGCATTTTGAATGAAGTGAGAAATCTTTGACTGTAAAATTAAGTCAGTTTGGGATAGGAAAAAAAATGGTACATATTCCTCAAAAAAACTGAGCCATATAGAAAATTGAGATTTTTTTTTTTTTTAAATGAGCAAATAGCTATGGTTTGGAGTGCCAGACCCTTGTTCTAAAATAAGCAGAATATACAGTTTTACGTATTCAGTGTCTCCCTTGCCACCTTCCTGTTGCTGTCCAGAGATTTCCATTTTTTTTTTTTTTTTTGTACCAGGAATCGAACTTGGGACCTTGCACTTGCCAGGCAGGTGCTTATGCTGCTGAGCTACATCCCCAGCTCCATTATTATAAAGGGAGGGAGCACTGATTCTTTACCCTTCTCTCTTTGCTAACTGGAGTAGCTCTGCCTCATAAAGATCTTAGTTCTGAGCATCTCCCAAACTCTTACCTAGCCTGGACTTTTGAAAATGCATTCTTCCCTGCCAAGGAAGCCAGTGCACGGCAGGTATGAGAGTAATTTCTCTTCCCGCAGTCACTTGTTGGCTGGAAACTCGATTGAAAGACATCAGGTTCCCTCTGGACAAAGAATTCCCTTGTAGTTTCCTGCCTAGGGACATCTTAGAAAACACATATATTGAAATTAGCTGTGTATCCAGTTTCCAAAGAAATAATGAGGTGGTAGGGTTTTCAGACTTTAGGAAGGATTGTGTCACCAAATGACACCGGGTGATGTCTCAAAGCATACATTTCTGGGCTTCACCCCTAGGTGTTCTGAACAGTTAGAACAGGACTGGAACTGCATCAGAACTCCTAGGGCAATTCTGATGACAGCCAGGCATGCGGCGTGCTGCTCCTGATCACAGGACCCAGCAGGAGACTTGGGTTGTGGGATCCACCTCTGACAAGGACCTTCTGAGCTTCTGTATGGGCAAACACTGGGAAGACCAGGCCTCTATACACTGGGCCCACATGAAACAGCTGTTTTTGGAAATCAAAAATAGTTGATGTTTAGCAATTCCACATGGTTCAACTGATAGCAGGACCCAGGATTGAGAGTGATCTGGGCTTGGTTAGAGTTGAGCATCTCCTGTCTGCTAGATTTGCAATCTTGGTCAAGGAATTTGCCCTTTCCAGGCATCAGGCTTTTTATCTCTAGAATGGACTTCGTGATAATTCCTTTGCCAGATTATTGTCAAGCATGGATCACACAGGTCCAGGGTTCTGGTGCTCTGTGGCTGCTGCCTTCTTTCATCTTATTGATAACATTCCCCAACTCTCCTGAGTTGGGCAGTGACCAGATTACCTAAGAAAAACAACTCAAAGGAGGAGAGAGGTATTCTGGCTAATGGTTTCAGAGGCCTCAGTCCTTTCATTGCAGCCTGGCTCCAAGGTAGAAGCACTATGGTAGAAACAGCATAGCAGAGCAAAGCTGCTTGCCTCATGGCAACCAGGAAGCAGAGATTGAGAGAGGAAGAGCTTGGGAGGAAGGGACCAGGGACAAGAAATAGCCTTCAAAGGCAGGTGACCTGCCTCTTCTAATTAGGCCCGCCTCTTCTTACACCGCTTGAGCTCTGAATTCATCAATGGATTAATCCCTTTGATGAAGTGAGGGCCCTCAGGATTCATTCAGTTCCTCAAATCACCCGCCAGCACCAAGCTCTCAACAGAATGAGGCTTGTGAGGGACATTTTGGATCCCAGCCATGATATCCCCTACCCCACGCTCCTCTAAACGTAAACCGCAATATGGCTTGCATCCTAGTGGCACCTTGGGGACAGCAGTTTCTCAGTCTTCACTGCCCCCTTATGTTCTCTTGTACCAAGTAATGAGCTCTAGTGCCCCCTCTTCAGGCCTGTTCCGAATGACTCCTTGATGTTGCCTCCAGAAGCGTGGGTTCTAGCCACATGTCCACCATGAGGGTCCCATGGCACCTCCAATTACGTGTCACGCCCAGCAGAGTAACCAACTCGGTGCACCGTAAGATGCGCATCAGAGGACATTCTGTAATGAGGTCCCCTTGAAGGGGTGGCCAGCTCTTCTTCTCACACTTAAGATAGAAGGCAGAGTTCCTGCTGGAGTTCACCTCCTCATGACCCTGCTGGTGCCCACTCCCTCATTCACTTGGTTCCATTCGTACTTCTTGCTCCCCAACCCACTTGGTGCTCTCTTGATGCAGGGCCTTTGTGCTTGCTTTTTCTAGAACATTCTTCCTTATGACTGCATGGCTGTCCACCTTCCTTCTACCCCTCCTTCATTTAACTGTCATCTCCTTGGTGAAGCCTCCCTTGACCGCTCTGAAACTATGCTTCCTTGGCCCGGCTCAGCTCTCCTTATCCCTCTCCTGCCTTATTGTATTATTTCGAGCATGTGTCACCATCCTTGATCATCACTTCCCTCCACTCACTACGGCTTCACCTCCCTAAAAGTGTTTTCACTGGGCCATCCCAGTGCCAGGCACACAGTAGGTGCTCAGGAAATATATTTAATGAAGACATAAGTAGAAGCAGTCTTCTGAAAAATCCAAATTTGCCTCCTTTATCCACACAAACCTTGTTTCCAGAGAGAAATTAAACTCACCAAATAAATGTCCTGTCAAAAGGAAATGGAAGATAACAAGGTTATCTCCTCTCCAGGCAGAGGGACCTCACCAGGTGACTGATTCCATGAGCATTGGCACAAGCACAGACCTGCCCTCAGAGAGCACATGCGGGGAGGGACGGGGAGCGTGGCAAGGATGGCCTCCCAACAGCAGGGGGTGCTGGCTGCCAGCCTGATGGGAGCATTGGCCACAGGACCCAGAGAGACAGAAGGCACCATGGGAACTATTCCGGAGCATTTGTCTCTGGAAGGGAGGCGCTCACTGTTTCTAATTAGCCAGTGATACTCATTGATCAATAATTATGATGACAGCATTAAATTATTAATAAAGATTAATCTATGATACCCTGTATACAAAGGCAGAAGAATAGCAAATACTCTTCTCCTACCAAGCCAGTTTTAAATAGAAACTTTGTTAAGATTTTCATAGCATAAAATTCATCCTTTTCATGGGTACCGTTCAGTAGTTTTCAGTATAATCATGGAGTTGTGCAACCATCATCACTTTCCAAATTTAGGACATTTTACACCCACTAGCAGTCTCTGTGTATTCTTCCCTCATCCAGCCCTTGGCAACCAGTGACCTTCTTTCTTCATGTTCGGGATGTATCACATAAACGGAATCACAGAGTATGTGGTCTTGGTGACGGCTCCTTTTACTAAGCATAATGTGTTTAAAGTTCATCTGTATTTTAGCATGTATCATTTATTCCTTTGTAAGGATTGGCTTTTGTCTACCTGTTCATTTATCAGTTGACGAATAGCTGGCTTCTTCCTACTTTTTCCACTCGCCCTGAGCCATTTGGAAATGTAGGAAAAGGCTCAGTGCTGATGGGTTTCGAAAGCAAAGTGACCTGGCCCACCTGGCAGGTGGTATGAGGCTGGGTGATGGTGGGAACCTCTCACCTTGCTGGTCATCGTCCACTTTGAAAGCGGACCTTCCATTGCTTCTGTGGCCTCTCTGTGCTGGCGCACAGCCTGTGACGTCATCAGTGTGTTCCTCTGCTTTGACCTGAGTCAAGTCTGAGCCTTTTGCTGGAGAAGCTTCCCGCGGCAACCGGCGTTGTTCCCCACCCCGCCCACTTCTCTAGTCTTCACTTCTGCCCAACTGGTTTCCTCATCCTTTTCTGAGGGCACCTTGCCTTCTCCACACACTGCTCTGCTGGGACATCCCTTCTGATCCTGTGTCCCAGTCCGTGGTCCCTTGGGTCCCTGCCCAACCCCACCTCGTATTCCAGGACTGGTGTTAGGCCAGAGCCTCGGGACATTTTGATAGCACTGTCTCAATCTGCTACCTGTGTTCCAGTTTTCTTGTTCATGTATGTGAAGTTGTGTCTTGGTTGTTGTTTGCTTATGGCTTCAACCAAACTGTAACTGTGACATGGCCCAGGCAGAGCTTGTAACTTCCATGTCCCCAGTCCTGCCCAGTGGGGGACAGTGGCCCTCTGTGACTGCCAGCTGGTTCTGTGTCTGGGAGTGGTGAGCCCTTTGGCATGTAACTGGAGAGGGTGAGAGGTGTGAATGAACCACCTGCCCGTCAGCACAATGGTCTTTGGAGGGGATCAGGTTTAAATCACTTCTAAGCCTCCTTTACCCCCATTGTTATTTCCTGAAAGCACATGGCTGAACTAGCTAAAAAAATAACCTGAATTTTGATAAAACCATAAACCATGGATTTCCTTTCTGACGGGGCCCACCTGTGTAAATGTCACAGAATAGCAGCAGGTGTCCGGCCACCCTTCAGGGGGCCCTTGACAGCTCCCATGCTGTGAGGGATCCCTGGGGCCAGTGCTTCTCCTGCCTCTGGTCACAGACTTGAGCCATTGGGGGCGGGGTGTGACTTGAGATAACCCACTCGATAACAATGAGGTCCACCCCGTTCTTTGTCTGCTTGTCAACTTCTGATTTCCTGATGGATCAGGTAGCCACCATTAGCAGGTAACTGGTGGAGTTTTTTTCACTGCCTCTGTTGTCTGTGTTCATTGTCCACAGAGATAGTAGTGAACAGAGGAAAAAGAAAATTAGAATTGGAAGCTGGGAAGGGTAGGAAGAGAGAATCTGCAGGCCTGGTAAACAAAAGTTGGCTGTAACTCGAGCCAGGATGTGGAAGTGTGACCAAGGACTTGTGACTGGGTGCCGGCTCCCAGCGTTTCCACTGGGGCTGGATGGGCTCTCTCCGATGTTACCAAGGGCGTTAGGTCGGTCTTTTCTGTCTGGCTGTTGTTCCTGAAGAAAAAGGAAGATGATCAGATGGCTCTCTTAAAATTAGTGTTAAGAATGAGAAGGTGAGTTAGGACAATTCCCCCGAAGACGGACTTCCTTCTGATGAAACATTACTAGCTTTTGTTGGAAGCCATCTGTTGGCTGAGGGGAGAGGCACCTTGGGTCTCTGCCTCGTGGCAGAAGTGGAAAGTGATGATGTTTGTAGGGCAGACTGGACTGAGCCCAAGGGTTGGAGCCCAAAGGCAGTAAGTAGTGGCCAGGCCCTGGGAGACTGGGTTTGAGGTGTCAGTCCTCCCCTGCCCCGTGTTTACCTCGCAGCCCGCTGAGATGTGGTCTGAGGTCTGGGGCCACCTGAGCTCCCAGTCCCTTTGGTAGGTGATTATTCAGCACTACCCACCTCAGTGGAACTGCTCCATTTAGGGAGAATTTCTTCTTTATGTTTTGTGGTTCCTTTCCTCATTCCACCACTGGAGCCCCTCAGGGCAAGTTGGTACCCCTGTCCATGTTGGTGGCTCTAAAGGTCTTGGTGCCCCAGGGGGAACTGCTTCTCACATGGGCTGTGAGTGTCTCACTCCCCAACCTCACAAAATAATGGTTCCCTCTGAGTCCCACGTCCTAAAAGAAAATCAGTGGACCCCGGAAGCCTGACTTCTTCCACTGTTGGGGCTGCTATAACAAAGTACTATGGGCTTAGTGGCTTACAAAGGATAGGCATTTACTTGTAACTATTTTTGAAGAATGGGAGTCTAACATTAGAGTACCAGCATGGGGGCTTGTTTAGAGTTCTTTTCCAGCTTGCAGACAGCTGACTTCTCATTGCATCAGAGCCCTGGAGAGAGAGTGAGTCAGCCCTCTGGATCCTCCTTCCACAGACACTGTAGTTACAGCCTACGTAGGGGGGTTCTCCCATCAGGACCTGAAGGGTCCTGCTTCCAGGTACCATTATGTTGGGGATTGGATTTCAGTCTAGAAATTCAGGGTAGGGGCACAAATATTCAGTCTATAGTATGTGACATATATTTTTTTTTAAAAATGTTAAGTGTAAAGTCATGGCCACCATAAAATATTTAAAAAGGAAAAGATCATGATCCAAATAAACCTGATTTTATTTAAGTATTTTCTTTGTGCTTGTCTCGATTAGTCCACATCTTGGATGGTCATAAGTAGAGTTTATGTACAAATTTTTGGTAGTTTTTTCTTTTGCCGTGTGTTTCCTACACAACTGTCGGCATCGTAAGGTGATCGCTCAAGAGCACGTCTTGTCGATGCAGCTGGTATGGGATGGCTGCCTTGTGTTCTGCAGAGTGGAGATAATTTGCTGACCAGTGCCGTGGGCAGAGAGCAGATCAGGGAAGAAAGCACGGCTCCCACCTCTGAGGCGAAGCGGGAGCCTTGGTGGAGGCCGGGAGAGAGCCACACTCTGGGACTTCTGGAGCCCCTCCGTATGTTGGACGTCCAGCTCTTCAGAGAGGAAGGAAATAAGCTTTTGAACCATTTTAATCCTTTTGAGGGAAAAAGCAAACAGTGTCCCTTTTGCACACTTCTCAGAATTTCCTGTGTTTTTACCTGTCACTAGTTGGCTACTGTTTGGGCTTCCTTTCGTGGTGGTAAACAGTTTGTTTTGTTCCGCCATTTCCTTCCCCCTCAGATACCATTACTGATCAATTCTGCCCTTGCCCGAGACGTTCACTCATGGGTCTCTTTCCTTTCATCTGTCTCCCCTCAAGGCACTGTGGAGCCCCTTCTGTGCATACCTAAGGCTCCAGGAAGGGCAGGGGTGGCAGGGAAGGAGGGACAGCTGCACGGGAGACAGGGGCGGGAATCCCAGAGTCTAGGTGCTCTTGCCTTCCTTCCAAGGGGACTCACTTTCTCTAGGTCAGAAATACTGACCTTAAGGTGCCCTCACTACAAAGTTATTTGTCCATTTTATGGAGGGAAAGAGAAGGGCTGCCCATGTTGTTGTCATTTCCAAGGTCTAGTCAAGTCACTAGAATCTGAGGTCAGCGCAGCCTTCACGGAAGCCCAGGCTTGACTGCCATTGCCACCAACCTGTCTGAGCTTTGAGAACCCTGGGGGAAGTTGCAGGTTGTGTCTGGAAACACCGCTGTCTTATATGTCTCAAGTAGGGGTCACTTTCGAAGCTCAGCCGTTGGGCCTCCTGGCCGCAGCTGGTTGGGGGGAGTTGAGTTTGGGTGGGGAGACAGGCTGCAGAGAACAAAGGGGCTGCTAGCGTGAGATAAGAGAAAGCAGCCACCCCTGGACTGAGAAAGAATGGTCCTGCAAGGCCGGGCCGTGACACGCTCATGCACGCTTCGAAGGTGTCATCTCCTCTGGCTTCTTAACTGAAAATGAAGATGATGTTGCCATTACTGCCATGTTGAAATCGGTAGAGCCACTGACCCTGAACCGGAATGACATTGACCCAGGGAGTCAAATTGGGAACACCTGTAGTTTCCTTCCACTTAGTAACAGAACAGGTTCTTGTTTCCCTTGGAATGAAGCACATAGCACAGCCTGATGGTTCTCAAATGCACCAGAGCCGCTGGCAGGGCTGGTTAGTTAGCACACAGTGCGGGGCTCCAACCCATGGGACTTGATTCGGACGTCTTGGTCGGGACCCTGAGAATTTGTGTTTCTAGCAAGTTCTCAGGTGGCGCTGCAGTTTCAAGAGCAGACTTTGAGGACCTCTCTACTAGATCAGCGCTCCAACTCGGGCCTCTGTTCCCAAATAGCCCCTTCCACAATCTTAACAGAGCCCAGAAGTATGGCAGAGAGCCACAGTCTAAAAGGGAATTTCTTTTCTTTGCAGCATGGAGCTGTCCCACAGCTAAGCTGCCCCCTTGTCCCATACACACACCCCTCCTCCCTGAGGCAGAAACCTCCGTTACCTGCCACAGCACAGGGGTTAGATCAGGGCCCGGTGGGCGGCCGGTACCACGAGGGCAGAGCTGGAGCGAGTGCTGGTTTCACTCCTTTGAGCTCGTGGAATTTGATGAGCTAAGCATTTTCCATGGCAAGTGCATAAAAAAAGATTTCTCATCCTTTTTTGAAAGAAATACATCCTTTCTCTTGAGTCGTAACTATTGTTGGATGCTGAGTGAAAAAAGACTATTAACACTCCGCCCTTGAAAACATTTTTCTCTGGGTGACTTTCTCTAGCTCCAGAAGATCTCCTGAGTTAATTTTTAATGGCTTTGTTGGGGGGTGGGGGGAGTCTTGATGTCCTGTGTGGGTGTCACTGCCCACGACATGGCTCAGCAAGGTCCTGGGAACAGCTCCAAGGCTGAGTGGGCCAGAGAGGGAGCCCGGCGCCAGCGGGGGGAGGTGTGAGGCGGCTCCCTTTGTGAGAGGTGGTTAGCTGCGAGGCTGGGGTCTCAGTGCTGAGTCCCCAGGCTTCGAATCTGCAGTGCGCTCTTTCTGGTTAACTTTGGGGCAGTGATGAGCTTGCCAAGGGCCCAGCTGCCTGTTGGGTGTGTCTGCTCGTCTGACCCATGGCCAGCTCAGCCTCATCAGGGCCAGGCCCACTTATTGTGGGCCTTGGAATCCCCCCACAGATTTCTTGTAATTCGCCTCCTGTGGAATCTTCTCGGCCATACTGCCTGTCTGTCTCCTTGGAATCTACCACCCCAGCCGGCTCACAGTGCTGTCCTTGCTTTTCACGTTCTAGTGGCCTCAAAAGTAAGGATTGAGGAAATAATAAGCACTACAGCTGACCTCTCTGGAGTGTTTCTAGGCTCTGTTCCAAGGGT